ACCTAAGCTCCATCCCAATAACAACTTTTCACAGAAGGTGTTTGACCTATGTTCCGTCAGTCCAGACTGTCTTGCAGTCCTAATTCTCATGCATATTTACTGACATAAAATGAGAAGTCACCCGTTGGAAGAGTTCCAAGGAGCAGTCTTTATGCTCCTCCAGAGCCCCCATGGGAAACTTTAAGTCCACAGTGAGCTTCCTGAGGGTGGGGGCTGAGTCATAACACCCAAGGCACAGGCAGGACTCCTGGCGGGATTACAATAAGCACCGTCTGATGTCTGGTATTTCCTCACCCATTCAGCCACATACTCAGGCCTCAATGCTGTCTGTACAGATGTTGTCCTAGCTATCCAAAGATGTCATTTCAAAGGAGCAGCATTGGGGTATTCTAAAATTCACCACAACATATATTTCTGTGTCAAAAGACCCCTTCCTGATGAACTATGATAGGAATCTGTAGCAACAGTGAGGGGCCCTACTGCTTCTCTTTCCACAAGTGAATGAGTTGATGAGAATGGCCCATAGGTCACAGGGCTGTGTTATGCATGAACATCAACTTGTGTTTTTGCTGCACCAAGGCAATGTAGTTTCGTTACTGGCCTCATATTTGTCAAAATAATCTACGGCATTAGCTCACAGATGTCCTTTCATGCTTGCTTGTGAACAAACAACTTTAGTATTTATGCTTCGAAAACTTTGTATAACTCTCTTTGTTATTGCTAATATGTAGGAAATAATTTCTGAGCCTTGTAGGATAATGCTGCCAAGGACAGCATGTCTCAACGGCAGCCTTTGGTCTTCACAGACATGTGCCAGGTACTTCTGAGTCACATTGCAGCCGTGATGGTCTTCAAGCCTGGGTTAACATTTTGAAGGTGCCATTTTCTGCCTCATATAAACTATTCACTCTCAGGATAGGGTTATATCTTAGTGATAAATCTTAGTGGATTTATAGCTTAGCGCTTACTTAGCATGTGCAAGGCCGTGAGTTCAATCCTCAGCACTGCCAAGCCCAATGAACAAATGTTGATCTATAGTAGTATTTTAGGAATTTATTTAGTTTTGATTTATTTATTTTATTTATTTAGTTTTTTTGAGACAATGTTTTAAAATCATTTTTATTTAGATGTATTTGTGTGTGTGTGTGTGTATGTTTGTGTATGTGTGTCTGTGTGTGTCTGTGTGTGTTTGTGTGTGTGTGTGTATGTGTGCAGGTGTGTGTGTGTGTGTGTATGTGTGTCTGTGTGTGTGTGTGTGTGTGTGTGTGTATGTGCACATGTGCATGCAGTACCTGTGAAAGCCAAAAGAGGGCATCGGATCACTTGGAACTGGAGTTACAGGTGGTTGGTTGTGAGTTGTTCACTGTGGGTACTGGAAACCAAACTTGGGTCCTCTGGAAGAGCAGGAGGTCTTTTAACCACCAACCCATCTCTTCAGCTTCATATTGGTATTTTTAAAGTTTGAAATTATGGATTGCTTTTCTGGTTATTAAAGTGGAACGATTGGGCTGGAGAGACGGCTCAGGGGTTAAGAGCACCGGCTGTTCTTCCAGAGGTCCTGAGTTCAATTCCCAGCAATCACATGGTAGCTCACAACCATCTGTGATGTGATCTGGTGCCCTCTTCTGGCCTGCAGGGATACATGCAGAAAGAACACTGTATTCATAATTAACAAATAAACCTTAAAATAAAGGAAGTGGGGCAATTGATAGACTTTGTGGTCCAAACAAGATGACTTAGTAGGTAAAGGGCTCTCTCTGCTGTATCATGACATGTGCTTTATTCCTGGAACTGACAAGGTAGAAGGAGAGAACCAACTTCTACAAGTTATTCTCTGGCTTCCACAGTGTCCAAACCAACCAACCAACCAACCAACCAACCAGTGAATAGAATCTATGTATATAATTATAAGGTCATTATGTCTCCTGTTTTATTTTTAATTTCTTAAACATGCTAGTCATACTCCTTGTCTTAGGGTTCTGTTGCTATGAAGAGACACCATGACCGTGGCAATTCATATAAAGGAAAGCTTTTGGTTGGGGCTGGCTTATGGCTCAGAGGTTTAGTTCATTATCCTTATGGTGGGAAGCAAGATGGCACACAGGCAGAGAGGGAGAGAAAGAGAGAGAGAGAGAGAGAGAGAGAGAGAGAGAGAGAGAGAGACAGAGAGACAGAGACAGAGACAGAGACAGACACAGTTAGAGAGACTCTGGGCCTGGCTTGAGCATTTGAAACCCTAAAGCCCACCCTCTGTGACACTCTTCCTTCAACAAGGCCCACAATTCCTAATCTCTGCTAAGTAAAACCACTCCCTGATGACCAAACATTCAAATACATGAGCCTGTGGTAGCATTCTTACTCAAACCACCACAGCCCTTGATCATTTTATACCATTAGAACAGTTAAGACTGTGGCTGAATGGATATTTGACTCTACTGAATTTTATTTTTTTTTTGATATACACTTAAAGCGAGACTGTCTCTAAATAGTAGTAGCATATTTGTTAAAACACAGTAAGTTTTTTTTTAAGGATGTTTTGTTTTAGTTTATTTATTTATTTATTTATTTATTTATTTATTTATTTATTTATTTATTTATTTATTTGTGACAGAGTCTTACTACATAGCCCAGGCTGTCCTGGAACTCACTATGTAAACCAGGCTGACCTTGAACTCTCAGAGATCTGCCTGCCCGTGCCTCCCAAGTGCTGGGATTAAAGAAGGTGTGTGTCACCATGACCATCAGAATTTTTTTATTGTATATGAGCCCTTGGCCTTTATGTATGTGTGTGCATGCCTGTTGCCCAAGAAGGTCAGAAGAGGGTGTTGGGTCCCCAGAATTTGAGCCATCCCTGGCTGAGTTACTCTGCCACTGAGCCATCTTTCCGGCCCCTCGTTTATTGCTCTGTCATGTGTGTTGTCAGGGTGTCAGACTCTAGAGGGAGTTGGACCACTGGACATGTCTGCATTGGGGTGGGCAGCAGAGTCCCTGGCTGGGATCCGGGGCCATGTAAGTGGAGGCAGGAGGCTGGGCAGCAGGCAGCCATCGCTTCCTTCCCTCTGACCATGGCTGGTGTGACAGCTGCTATTGAGAATTTTATCACTGAATCAGGAGGAGCATCCGGGACCCTCAGCCCTTGGGAGTTGACCCGTGTTTTGTGTTGAGATCACTCGAGCACACGAGCACTCGAGACCTGCTGAGCCCGCTCTTCCCATTAGGAAGGGGTCACTGCTGAGCTCTTCCGTTTTGGAGACATCACTACCATGGTTGCCTATGATTGTGGTCTCCAGCCTACAGATTTAGGTATTTGGAAATCAGGACCACAGTTTTGGCTTTTGTTTTGTTTGATTTTTTTCCCCTTCCTATTATACTGTCTCTCAGATTTTCACCATGTTCACCCCAGGTATTTGGAGCCCAGGGGATCCGAATGGATGGCTGCAATGGTCATGTGGTTATTTCTTGCATCAAATATACTGAACATGGACAAGCAATACAGGGGCAGATACAGCATCTTTTTTGTTTGTTTTGTTTTGAGGTGGAGTAGTCCAGGCTGGCCTTGAACTCACCATCTATCTGTCTCTGCCTCCTGAGTGTTGGGACTCATGACAATTAAATACCTCATCAAGCCAGGCATGGTTGTACCAAGCTTTCTTTTGGGCCACAAATCAGCTCCCAAATCATGACATGGGGACTTATTCTTAGTTATGAATGCTTGGCCTTATCTTAGATCTTACTTTGATCTGTTTATCTAGGGCTTTTTTTTTTTTTACCTTTCTTTCTTTCTTGCTTTCTTTCTTTCTTTCTTGGTTTCTTTCTTTCTTTTTTTCTTTCTGTGGTTCTTTCTTTCTTTTTTTTTTTTTTGGTCTTTCGAGACAGGGTTTCTTTGTGGCTTTGGCGCCTGTCCTGGCACTAGCTCTGGAGACCAGGCTGGCCTCGAACTCACAGAGATCCACCTGCCTCTGCCTCCTGAGTGCTGGGATTAAAGGCATGCGCCACCAACGCCCCTGTGTTTCTTTCTTTCGCTGCTTCCTGTGCCTGGCTTCTGGTCCCAGGAGTGTCTCTCTCTCCCTCATTCTATCTTCCTTTCCCCTTCTCTTTTGGTCTTCTCAAGCCTAGATTTCCCCTATTTATTCTCCCTGCCTGTCATCCCTGCCTACCTTTCTCTGCCTACCTATTTGCTGTTCAGCTCCTTATTAGACCAATTAGGAACCTTAGGCAGGCACAGTGAAACAACTACACATCTTTTCAATTAAACAAATGCAACATAAATAAAAGTAACACATCTTTTTTTTTTTTTTTTTTTTTTTTTTGAGACAGGGTTTCTCTGTGTAGCTTTTGGAGCCTGTCCTGGCACTCGCTCTGTAGACCAGGCTGGCCTCGAACTTACCGAGATCTGCCTGCCTCTGCCTCCTGAGTGCTGGGATTAAAGGTGCTTGCCACCAACGCCCAGCTTACATCATTAAACAAACGCAGCATAAACAAATGTAACACACCTTCACATAGTTACAGTAATATTCTACAGCATAAACAAAAGTAACACATCTTTAAATGGTTAACCATTCCACAACATGTGGTGGCTTGTGCCTGCTGCCCTAGTACTGTCAAGGGAAAGACAGGAAGGCCCGGAAATCAAGACCATCTTGTCTACCTAGTAAGATGGAGGTCAGCCTGGGCTACATGAGACCCCGTCTCAAAAATCCAAAGCCAACTACAATAAGAATTGCCTTCTCCAGACACGTCATTGACTTCCTCATGAATTACACTAGCTAGAATGTTTCACAAAACACTAATGAAGAAGCATCTGTTTTAATGAAACAGTTTAATGAACAGTTTAAAACAGTTTAATGAAACTGTTTTAAGTAGGTATTTGAAAAGGATGTTATAGAGTGCATTAAGACTGTCCCCAAATACTAAAAGATATTCATGTCTCAAACTAGGCTTACAAAGGGTGTCTAGAAAGTACCCAGAGCCTTAGTCACACTGCTCCGTTTGTTTCTCAGACTGCCTTTTCAAGGTCTGCCCCATGAATCGATACTCTGCCCAGAAGCAATATTGGAAAGCCAAGCAGGCGAAGCAAGGAAACCACACAGAGGCTGCCCTGCTGAAGAAGCTTCAGGTAAGTCGCTGCCCTCTTTCTCCGAGGCTCGCCCCTGAGGCTGGCCCGAGAGCAACAATAACAAGCAGGCACCGGGCCGCTCGCCTTGCTGATTTCACCATTGTGTAGAGATTTCAGTTAGAGCTCAGGCAGAGTGCAGAGGTAAGTAGTTTTCCGTTGTAGGGCGTACCTACTTATTTCCTGGCATGTGGGCAACACATCCCCACTGTTATTTTTTAAGGTGTGCCGGGCTAATTCTCAACTTCTCACCAAACCAAAAAGGAATTAAAAAAACCCTGACTGTTAAATCTAATTATATTTTACCCTTTATAGTACTTTTTCCCCCCTAACAGTCTATAGAGAAAAAATAATATATATATATAGTTTGACTGAGTCTGAATTTGATAATACTAAGTTTTGTATCATTTAAATCCTAGGTACTCTCAGGACTGAAAGCTATATTTTGAGGTTTTAATTTACCTGCTTTTCTAACAGTTTCACATCATACTGTAGAGAAGTTTCTAGTTCCACAGAACCTTCTACTTAACTGAAATTTGCAGTATAGAAACAAATGGTCCAAGACAGGTTTGGCTGTATTCAGCATAGATTGTAAAGTTGCTGCCACACTTGGGGTGGGGTGGCTTGGGGGAGATCTGGGAGCCTAGTGTAAATGTACCCCCAATTACAAAAAACTTCCTTGCTGGACATGGTGGTATGTGCATTAACCCCAGCACTATGCAGGCAGAGGCAGGCAGGTCTCTGAGCTTGAGTCTAGCTGAGCCTACAGAGTAAGTTCCGGGACAGCCAGGGCTACACAGAGAAACCGTCTGAAATCCAGCTCTCTAATAACACAGCCTGTCTGCTTTATTCTTGTTACTAAGTCTCTGCTTGCTATGCTTCCACACTGAATACTTGGTCGTCCTCTTGCAGCATGCTGCTGAGCTGGAGCAGAAACAGAATGAGTCGGAGAACAAGAAACTGTTGGGAGAAATCGTGAAATACAGCAACGTTATACAAGTAAGTCTTCATTTTGTCATCAGAGAGGGAAGTCCTTTATGGGTGAGCCGTCAAACTACCCACATGTCAAGCTGTATGAAGCATTTGTGATACCGTGTTCTTCTTTGGAGGGGATGATGATTAGTCTGAGGCTTTCAGTGAACATGCATCATATCATGTATGTATTGAATACATCTTGTGCCAGGCCCAATGGCGCTGGCCTGCAAGTCCCGAACATAGGCGATCCGTGCAGGCACTCGGAAAACTGATCTCTTGGTGGGAGCTTAAGTTACCAAAGGTAAGACTGTGCAGGAGGGTTTGTAAGGCCCAGAAGACATAGTCCTTTAGGTGGATGGGCTGATGCTTGATGATTTCCCGGGGTCAAGGGGAAAGTTTTCGTATTGTACATTTATTTAACAGGCAATATTGCTTTGGCTTCCAGTCCTCATTGTCAGGGTGCACATTGACTTATCTCAACTGCACCCCCCCTTCATTCAGATCTTTTAGGCTTCTTTTGTTTGTTTGTTTGCTAGCAAGTGCCCCACCTTGTTTCAAAGAAGAATGTGAGGCCTTTTCCAAGAAACACACAGCACATTGGTAGATAAAGCACCAGTTGCCAAGGGAGGCAGCTGGGTGGAAGGGAAAATAATGGTGGCTGGACGAGGTGAAGTAAAAAATGAGGCTTGCTTACAAAGCTCAGTAAAACCCAGCCAAGACACCGCTGTCACTGTGACCCCAGCCCAAGGCACTGCTGTCACTGTGACCCCAGCCCAAGGCATTGCTGTCACTGTGACCCCAGCCCAAGGCATTGCTGTCACTGTGACCCCAGCCCAAGGCACTGCTGTCACTGTGACCCCAGCCCAAGGCACTGCTGTCACTGTGACCCCAGCCCAAGGCATTGCTGTCACTGTGACCCCAGCCCAAGGCATTGCTGTCACTGTGACCCCAGCCCAAAGCATTGCTGTCACTGTGACCCCAGCCCAAAGCATTGCTGTCACTGTGACCCCAGCCCAAAGCATTGCTGTCACTGTGACCCCAGCCCAAGACACCGCTGTCACTGTGACCCCAGCCCAAGACACCGCTGTCACTGTGACCCCAGCCCAAGACACCGCTGTCACTGTGACCCCAGCCCAAGACACCACTGTCACTGTGACCCCAGCCCAAGGCATTGCTGTCACTGTGACCCCAGCCCAAGGCACTGCTGCTGCTGCTTGGCCACAGGAGGGACCCTGCTAGAGCCCCGGTAGTGGAGGTCTGTAGCATAGAGCCCATCTGGGGACTGGAAGCACATTCATTCCCAGAAGTGAGATCAGGAAAATGTTTCCCTTGAGTGCTCATAAAGAAGACACTGTTTAAAATGGTAAACACCACCCTGCACAGGTTCCTTACAGTAATCACCACAATGAGGCACTTAACAAGGCCACATTAAAGAATAATGTCTCCTGGTGTTCTGTCATGGACAAATGGCAGTGTGCCAGAGGGCAGGGCAAAGCTGTTCCCCACAGGACAGGGTGGAGGGCGTGACTTTCGGCTTGGTGGGACTGCACATCCCCTAAGTAGACTTCCAGAGATGATGTCTCTTCACTGAGCTTTGGTGACTCATTTAAGCTCCTTGTCAAGTACTTCAAGTACAATGCTTGTCTTACTTAGGGGCTGCGTTCTGTGCTTTGACATGGATCCTGGAGGTACATACTAAGGCTTGAGGGTGTGTGTGTGCAGGTATGCATGTGTGTGCATGTGTTTATGTGTGTGTATGCCTGGGTATGTATGCATGTGTGCATGTATGCATATGTGTGCATGTGTGTGTATGCATGTGTGTGCATACATATGCATGTCTGTGCATACGTGTGTGCATGTATGCATATGTATGCATGTGTGTGCATGTGTGTGCATGCATGCATGTGCATGTCTGTGTGCATACATGTGTGTGCATGTGCATGTCTGTGTGCATACGTGTGTGTGCATGCGTGTGTTTGTGTGTGTGTGTGTGTGTGTGTGTGTGATGTGTGTGTGTGTGTGTGTGTGTGTGTGTGTGTAAGCCTGAAGTCAGCCTCATCTCAGGTGTTGTTCTTAGGAGCTGCCCCATGGTGTTTTTGGAGACTAGGTCTCTCACAGCCTGGACTTGTGGATCCAGCTAGGCAGGCTGCCAGGGAGCCCAGGGATACACTTCCCGAGTGCTGGGGTTACAAGTGTGTGCCTCCTCATCCTGCTTTCGGTTTTGATTTTTTAACTTGGGGGATTGAACTTGGGCCCTCAGGCTTGTAAGGCAGCACTTGACCAGTTGAGCTAGTTCCCAGACCCATGGTTTTTCATGCCTTCATTAGTACAATAAGAACCAAGGGTAGGGCCTGGAGTTTTACAAAAAGATAATTCTTGTTTTTTCAATTAAAAAATTGCCATTTTACTTTGAAATAACTTCTGCCTCATCTTATGGGTACTAAAATGTCCCTTCTCTTTTGGCTGATTTTGAAACTAGATGGGAAGTTTGCCTTTGTAGTTCTACCCAATAAGGTTATATTTTGGGAAGACTGTCTATGGTGTCCATGGGGAAGGGAGAGGTGAGGACCAGTGTGCGTTAGTACTGTCGATGGGCAGGGTGCTTAGGGTGTGGCGTAGGCCTCTGATTTTCTTCAGCAGATTCTGCTTGTGTGGCTGTAAGAGTATTGGAAATGGGTGAGGTTCAGGCACCCTCCGGCTTTTTTGGAAAGCCTGATTTTAGTCTGCTATTTCTCAGTGGATGAAGGTGTCTTCAGTGTCCCCTGGGGTATCTTCCACACACAGTCACCATCACCCTTGAAGCAGAACTTGGGGTGGAGACGAGGAGGAGACAGGCAGGCAGGTTGGCAAGTTGGAGGTTGCTGAGCCTTAAAGTAGCTCCCGTGTTTAGTTTCCAGCATGAGTTGTGGTGTGTGGATTTATGAATGCAGCTACCTGAGGAGACCACAGATACAGGCTCTAACACTCACCTTTCCTCTGCAGCTACTGCATATAAAGAGCAACAAGTACCTGACTGTCAACAAGAGGTTGCCTGCTCTGCTGGAGAAGAATGCCATGCGCGTGTCCTTGGATGCCGCAGGGAACGAAGGGTCCTGGTTCTACATCCATCCCTTCTGGAAGCTGAGAAGCGAGGGTGATAATGTATGTGTGGGCAAAACCAAGGGAGAAGCAAACAACCCACGGTGTGCTAGAGAACTCCGAAAGTACAGTCTTCAGCCAGTTAACTCTAAACTACTTAAGTTAGCATAGGGAATGATGGGCTGCATTATGGCGGTTTTACATATATGTGTCATTCATTGCACTTTCTAACACGTTTGGCGTTAGCATTGTTTTACTAGGTTAAGTGCATTTGTTTACAATATAGGCCACGCTCAGAAATCACAGGACAGTTAATCAAGTTAGCAGAGAGCCATGGCAATGTTCTGTTCAGTATCTTCACAGACAACTTCTTACAGTGTTGTCACAGTGTGCAGGGTTTGAGGGACATCTGCCCACTGTCAATGACAATAAACTGGGGTGTATAAATGGCTGTGATGTCGCCAGAGCTTAGATCAGCGGTTCTCAACCTTCCTAATGCTGTGACCCTTTAATAAGTTCCTCATGTTATGGTGACCCCAACCATAAAATCATTTTCGTTGTTGCTCCATAACTGTAATTTTGCTACTGTTATGAATCATAATGCAAACACCTGTGTTTTCCTATGAGATGGTCTTAGGTGACCTCTGTGAAAGGGTCATTCAAGCTCCAAAGGGGTTGTGAGCCACAGGTTGGGAACCACTGGCTTAGATCTTTTCTGCTATTTTGTGGAAGAGAAAAAAAGTGAGATAATTCCATAGGAATCATTGCCTCATCTTCTCTATTTATGGAGATGGCTCATCTTCTCTATTTATGGAGATGCTTCTCACTATATTCTTGCCTGACTTGTAATATAGCATAGGCTGACCTCAAACTGGTATTGGTCCTCCTGCCTCAGCATCAGCCTACTGACTGCTGGGATTCTAGTTGTGCATTGCCACACCTGGTTAACAATTTGACATTTTTGTGGTAGTCCTTAGCTCCTGGAAGATGCTCAGTAAAGACAGGTTTATAAGTAGAACTCCACACAAATGCCAGGTGATCAATACTTGCCGTGTGGAAAAGCTCATATGAATTCTGACTGAATTGAAAATGTAATTCTCCTGCCATGTTTCACAATCAGTACTTGGGTTGCATCTTTAGGGTGTTTGGAGGTATTTCTTATGTGAGAATTGTCTTCTTTTTATAGAGAATCTCTTTTTTTCCCTCAGTGAATTTTAAAGTACAAATTCAATTCTACAGGACACAAGCGCCATGATTTAATTGGGTTAGTAATTTTTCTGGTGATGCTTTCCTTAGGTAAGGTCTGTGCTGCATGGCATGCAGGGATGGACTGGATTCTTGGGAAACTAGTTCTCCCTTCCCCTGCTTACTTTTGATATGAAGTGATGTGTGCTGGCAGCATGGCGCGTCCTTACACTGGATTTGTAGTTAATTACACTCAACTCTCAATCATTCAAGGGCTAAAATGTAGTTTGGGAACTATCCACTTCTCTTGTAATGGTGTCCCCAACCCCCAACTCCTCTATAGGTGGTTCATGAAAACCAAACGTCAAATCAAACAAATCCTAACTACGCTCAAACTAAAAGAGTGTGATGACATGGTGAAATGAGCCTCTCTCTGCCTTTGGGTTGCTGTGAATTTCATGGTTCCCTCTGCTGATTCCTCCTTTGACTTTCTCTCCTTGCTTGCAAGCCACTTGATAGTATCAGGAGAGAGTTGAATGTAACAACTACTTTAGACAATTAGTTTCAGCAGAAACAAACCTTGTCTTTGTGGCCGCCCCACAGTGCGTTAAGTTGTTCTTTTCTGGATGCACTCCACAAAGTCCCGCTGCCACAGTCTTCCACCTTCTTGCTGAAACCGTCACTGTGTTCGTTCACCTCTATATGGCTTTGTGTGTGATGAACGTTGCCGAGGAAGGCTGGCATGCCCACAGCCTTGTGTCAGCCTCGCACGGACCTGTATGCAACTCTTGTTTTCTTGGCTAGGAACAGGCAGTGTTTTAAAACATCAGACTGTAGTTTATTGAAGGCAGTTTTGCCAATGCTGTCTCTTTGAGTGGTTTAATTATGACTGAGTTTCTGCGTAAGTATCTTAAATGGAGAGGAAATTGCAATGTTCAGAGGAATTTTAAAATTGCAGTTTGGTATTTAGCAATGAGCGAAGGAGAGACTTGGGTTGTGTGTAACCAACAAGAAGTCCTCGGGGCTCAAGTGGAGAATGATGCAGATGGCAGCCTGGAGTGCACGCTGTTCCTTGAGCTAAGTGCATGAAGGTGCACTAGGTAGGATGCATGGTTTGGGGGAAACGGGTTTACAGGTCCCTTCACTGTCAGCTGTATAGAAAGTCCTTCACTGCTGCTAAGTTACTAGAAAAACCACCGAGGTCACTGGTGAGCCGAAAACATGGGTATTTCATTTCCACGTGTCCTCTTCATGTTTGAGCATTTAACTCTTTTCCTTTTTAGTCTTGACCTGAGAAGACAAGGGTCCTTTGCCCTGATGTAGATTTAGAAGCATAAAGAGGTAGAATTCTTGAAGTCAGTAGAAAATTCTAACTCACGGTGAGGAACTCTGGCAGGCAGATTTTGTGATTTCACAGAATGACAAGCCTGGCATTTGTAGCAGAGGCAGAGATAGGGCATTGGTGTTTTCTGATTCCCACTGTGAGGTTCCTCTTACTGTCCCAAATGACACTCAGAGCAGGGACAGCCAGCTGCAGGTGGCATCGTTATCAGTGAAATCCCATCTGCAGCGTGACATGGTCACTGCATAGACCCAACAGAAGTCTTTGGGATTATAAGATGTAAAAGCAAAGGGCCTCGCCCTCTGGTTATGCATCAAATAGAGTTTCTTAGGGTCCGTCAGGCCTGAAGCCTCACTCTTCTGAGAATAATTCCAACACATCTAGTAATGCGAATTCCCCGAGATTATGGACTGTTTCTTATACACACGTTTTCCCTAGTCCCTCTTCAGTGCTATCTAAAAAATGATATACTTTATTTTCTGTAAATGAGTGTTTGCTGGCATCTGTGTTTGGAAGGTGGGATGAGGTCTACAGGCCTGTCCTACAAACAGCAGGCACTCATCCCACAAAGCCAAGGGCACCTTCCTGCGCTGGGTTACTGAACTTGAGGCTTCTTGGACACAGATAGGTCTCTAGATGCAGCGTGCGGCAACACAGCTCCTCAATAGTACACATTTAGGGTCATGGGACCCTGAAAATGTGAGCGTGTGTTTTGGTTAAGGTACATGGAGATGTCCCAAGTCCCAATTGTTTTCTCATTTATGTAACAAAGCAATCTTTAATTGTTCTAACATGTAATTGGTATGAAACATGCAAAGGGAAGGTTTTTGATTTTGCTTCAGAGTGGGAAAGCCCCACAGCTGGGAAAGTAGATGCCACAAAACCGTCTTCTAAAGAAATTAAGGGTGGCTGGAGAGACGGCTCAATGGTTAAGAGCACTGGCTGCTCTTCCAGAGGTCCTGAGTTCAATTCTCAGCAACCACATGGTGGCTCACAACCATCTATAGTGTGATCTGATGACCTCTTTTGGCATAAAGGTGAATATACAGATAGAAAACACAAGCACACACACACACACACACACACACACACACACACACACACACACACGTATATAAAATAAATCTTAAAAAGAAAAGCAAAAACGAAAAAGAACTAGCACAAGTCTCTCCAGTTACTAAAATCACACTGTTATTGCCATTAAGAAAAGGTAAATTCAATTCCCTCAAGTCTAATTAGATATAAAGATATTTGCATGTAAAATAGACATTGCTCTTATCACACAGATGACTATAAATACAGACTTAAATTTTTTTAGTACTTTCCCCTGGAACCCTGATAATTCTTATTTTAAAAGAAACACAGGCTCCTACAGTTTTGGTTTTAGACATTTCAAGTAAAAGGGAACCGAAAGCTCCAGGCCTGACAAAGCATAGATTTTTCCAAGGTTGTGCCCTGCTTTGTATTTCCTGAACCCAGAGGTCAGATGCTTCATAATTCTGAGATTCGGGATGATTAGTTAAGCAGACCCACAGCCTTTCGGTGGAGGGGGAGCATCGCCTTTCAGTGGGGAGGGAGCATGGAGGGATGTGTTCTCTGCTACCCTGGTGAGATTCTGAAGCTTGGCTAGAAGGAACATCGTGGTAGCTGCCTTCACTGTGTCAGCCGCAAGGACTTTTGGGAAGAAAATCGCCTGATTCTGACCTCTGAGAAGCCCCAGGTGACATGGAGACTAACGGGGACTAGGGTTTGGCAGGCATGGAACACTGAACACGCTTCTCAGGGAGAAGAGTCAAGTCACAATCTGTAGAATGACAGGACCGGGAGGCAGGCTGCTGGTGAGGACTGCTGGGGTGTTTCCAGCCTCAGAGCATCAGGGTGTGTTTCTGATTCCCAGATCGTCGTAGGAGATAAAGTTGTTCTGATGCCGGTGAACGCTGGGCAGCCCCTGCATGCCAGCAATGTGGAACTCCTGGACAACCCAGGCTGCAAAGAGGTGAGTCCAGGCGGGAGAGGAAGGGGTGCTGATTTTCTCTAGGGGGAGGGAGGAAGAGAGTAGGACAGAGGAAGGAAGACAGAAAGGAGAGGAGGGAGAGAAGGAAGAGCAGAGAGGGGGAGGGAGGGAGGGACCTGTTTTTTCCTTTGGTGGGTCGGTGCTTGCATATGTGGTGAGAGAGTGAGCACCTGTATGGGGTGGGGGCAGGAGGCATCCAGACGCTGTGTGCCTGTGGTTCCTGCAATGGTAGCTCTATTCAGGACCCTTTTGTTTTTTTTAAAAAAAAAAAAAGGAAAGGGGAGAGAGAGAGAGAGAGAGAGAGAGGGAGAGAGAGGGAGAGAGAGAGGGGGGAGGGAGGGAGAGGGGAGGGAGGGAGGGAGGGAAAGGGGAGGGAGGGAGGGAGAGCGTGTTGTTTCTTGATTCTCTTGAGCACCATGCAGGCAGTGTTAGCACCCTTGGGCATCTGTAGGTACTGCCTGTCTTGAATGGTTCTTTGAAGATGTTTTTTATTGAGGCCTACACTTTGTTGTCCATAGTTGTCTTTTTTCTTCTCCTGTTTGGAATGGTGATTTTTGGTACAGAACACAGAGTCTACTGTCTTATGTCTTTAACATTTGTCTCCACCAATAGGTGAATGCTGTCAATTGCAACACTAGCTGGAAAATCACTTTATTCATGAAATTCAGCTCCTATCGTGAGGATGTGTTGAAAGGGGTGAGTAAGCCCTCCATACAAACCTTTATTCTCAAGCGCCAGTAATCTGACATGTGCTCAGAGCCTTCAAGGATAGGCGAAGGCCCTGCAGCCCAGAGTGCCCAGGTCAGAAAGGAACTGCAGGACCCCCAGTTTCCTGGTGGTGGCCGCTGGATGGTTACCATTTCCTCACCTGTTTCTCCAGGGTGATGTCGTGAGACTGTTTCATGCCGAACAAGAGAAGTTTCTGACCTGTGATGACTACGAGAAAAAACAGCACATTTTCCTTCGGACGACCTTGCGTCAGTCAGCAACGTCAGCTACTAGTTCTAAAGCACTCTGGGAAATAGAGGTATGTACTTTTGGGGGGGAGGAGGTTTGCTAAATATTTATATAAAAAGATAAAGATCATCAGGCTGTTGGCTTTGCTGTTACGGGTAACATTGGTGGCATGTCTATAACATGGAATAATTTTTGTGAATTAACACATAATCTCTTTGTGGCTGTGACCAATTTGAAAGGAACATGTCACCCATTATAAAGCAGAACAAATTAATCAAGGGGTTGAAAAGAGAAAACATTTCCATTGTGAATTCATCAGTGCTGATCAGACTGGAAGCCATGTGCCTCTGTGGCACTGCGTCATGACTGGCAGAGGCAGAGACAGATCTGTAGTGAGAGCTACCAGATGCACCTGTGGCACTGACCACACCCATTTGGGCGTGATCACAGGTGCGTATGTGAGCGTGAGCATGTGGGATTTGGCCTGGGCTCCAAGACAGGCTGTGCTCTCTCTTGGTTCTGGTCGGGTCACAGAGAGCGGCAGGACATTGATCCTCGGAGCTAACTTGTGGGTTATCGGGTTCTCATGTAAGTGACTTCTCCCTGAATAAAATTAAATATTATCCTAGTCTCATGTATCTTAATCTGTACATCCACACAGAACCTATAGCCACGGAAAATAGCGGGTATTTTTTTCTTTGAATGCATCAAAATCGAGATACGCATAGCTAAGCATGCTATTCACCAGGCTGAGGCAGGACAGTCACAAGTTTGAGATCAGCCAGGTCTCCTAAGCAAGCTGGAAGAATGGTTGTTAAGCAGCTCCTGGCAAGGGCTTCATGCAGTCCGTGGTGCCTGGTGTGGTGCGGGTGTTCTGCCAAGACCTTCCCAGTTCTGCAGCCTAATGATGGTACATATTAGACAGGGTCTACTTTATAGTCCAGGCTGGCCCGGAACTCACTGTGCAGCACAAAGGGATCCTGAACCTTTTGTAATCCTTGTGCCTCATCACACCAAGTCCTGGGATTTTATGTGTGAGCCTCTGTCCCCTGACCGGAAACATTGCCTTTTGCAGTAAGACAGTGTTTACAGGTGTGAGGCACGGGCTCTCTCAAGTGAGGTGTGACGTGTCTTATGCTCACTGATGGGAAGTTGTGTTTTTCTCCCACATTGTGCTCTCGGGGGTACATGTTAGATGGGTTGGCATACACAACAGGTTACTCTGGCTGATGACACCTGCTGGCTGCCATGTGGATACCATTTTGTCACTGAAACTCTCCCTCTCTGTAGGTGGTTCACCACGATCCGTGCCGGGGCGGTGCAGGACAGTGGAACAGCCTGTTCAGATTTAAACATCTTGCCACTGGGAACTACTTAGCTGCCGAGGTGAGACTGTTGGTTACAGTGTTGTTAGGTCTCTGCCTGAAACAACGAACCAGGCAACCCCTTTCTGTGAAAGTCATTGCATTGTCAGGGACCATTCCTGTGATTTGAATATTGCCTGTCATGTCTGGCTTGGTGTTTTTCTGTCCCTCCCTGGCCCCGCTGTTATGATAAAATACCCTGACAAAAACCTCAGGTGAGAAAGGAGTTATTTTGGCTCATGGCTAATAAGATACAGACCACCATGTGGAAGTCAGGGCAGCAGAACATGAACCAGTCATCGAGAGCTGATGAGGGCTTCCGCTCAGCTGGTTCTCTCCTGTTCATACAGCTCAGGGAATGGTGCCGCCCACAGTGGTCAAGTCTTTCTACCTCAGCCTTCTCAGGATTAACCCCCCTTGGCCACCCACAGACCCTTCTCTCAGCTGATTATAGAGCTCATCAAGTTGGTCACTACGATTAATCCTTACAGTTAGACTATGAGTCACTATTGTGTGTTTGTATGTGTAATGCATGTATGTTTCCTGCGTGTGTGTGTGTGTGTGTGTGTGTGTGTGTGTAGGATGAATGTGCATTTGAGGGCTTGTGTGTGGAGACCATTGGTGAGCCTCATGTCTTTTTGCTCAGGATTCCATCCCCTATGGGTTTGGAGGATCTTGGGGTTGAAGACTAGATCAAGAGTTAGGCTCCTCAGGATAGGGCGGCTACTGGAGTAATCTCTGTTATTCGCCAACTACCTATAGCCTGCACGTTTAGTATGTGTTTGTATTTCTTGCTTGGCATTGTTCTTGCTGGTTGCAGTTCTAGTTTTCTGTGCGTTCAAGCCTGAATGCTATGTCATTGGGCACCGTGGTCTGCATGGGAGACAGAACCAGGAAGCTTTCCTCAGCTCTGTATATACATCACAGATCCCACTTTTTGTTTTAAGCTTTGTTTTTAGGTTGTATGTGGAAACTTGAGAGGCCCACATTGGGTGTCAGATATTGCTGGAGACTTTGCCTTGTCTGGGTCCCATTTGACTGGTTTCTCTCCACCTACCAGGTCCTCACAACTGCTTATAAGATAACGGCTCACTGTTTGTCCAATGGCTTAGGATTATTACTGGCTAGCTCTCTCTCTTATAAAATTAAACCATATCTACTAATCTGTGTGTGGCTGTGGCTTACTCCGGAGATGCTCTGGCATGTTACCTCCTGGTGGCTACATGGAATCTCCTTGACTCCATCTTCTTTCTCTATCTCTGTTTGGATTTCCTGTCTGGCTGTATTCTGCCTGTCTATTAGCCCCAACAGCTTTATTAATCAACCAATAAAAGCAACACATATTTGTAGTATACAGAAGGACATCCCATGTCATCAGGGTCTCTCACTTTTACTGGAGCTATCTGATTAGGCCAGGCAGGTTGGCCAGAGTGTAGCATGATAAATAAAAGACCCAGAAACAGATATTGGGGTTCAAGCTTCAAGCTGAAGATCAGAAAAGCAAAGCAGCCAGCCACTAACTCTTACTCTACCTCAGACTGAAAGGTGATCCTGGCTCCACCAAACCTCAGACTGCAATCCCAGACGGCTAGGCTCTCCTCAGCATGGCTGGAAAATCCTAAGACTGACTACTGAAGACCTGCTCCTATCTTTTATATCTCCTTAGTGCTAGAATTAAAGGCATGAGCTTTGTTATTCTTTCAGACTGATTCAATCTCCTGTAGCCCTGGGTGGCCTTGAACTCAGAGAGATTCATCCACCTTTGTCTCTCGAGTCCTGGGATTAAAGATGTGTGCCACCACTGCCTGATCTCTATAGCTTGAGGCTGACTTTGCTTTCTGAATCCTCAGGTGGTAAGCTTTAATAAATCATAAATAACATATCACCACCCAGAGAAACTGACAGAGGTACCACATTGATGAAGAAAGTCATTCAGCTCATTAATTAGTTAGCTTAGGTGTTCTGCAAAAGCAGTTGCATGCTCTTAGAGCCATCTCTCTGCCCCCCACCCCTAGTTTATTATGGTTAATCTGAGGTGCTCATAACAGTTTCTCTGCATTTGGAAATTTGGGGATTGAGATGGGGCTGACAGTAGATTTTTATCTCATCAGTCCCAGGAATTGGAGAGGATGATGTGTTTAGACTGGAACCTCCAAGAAGCCTGGGAGCCTGAGAAGCTGGGGACAACTAGAAAACCCAGTGGGTTGAATCATAAGTGCCAGGAAGTCAGGGCAGTGTTTCACCGGGGTTGGGGTGAGGTGTGCGTGCGTGCGTGCATATCGTGCATGTGTGTATGTGTGTGTGTGTGTGTTGCACAGGCCAGGGTGTGGCCATGAGTGGCTTCATGCAGAGTTCTTCAGGGGAGCCCAGCTGAAGGGAGGGTGGGCCGAGTTCTCGAATGCCCTTCACCGGGAGAAGCAGCAGTGATGAGGGGAAGCCCTAAGTCCAGTCTATGCTCTGTATAAAATGGATTTAAAAATCAGACAGGGGATTGTCCTCCTTTTGCATAGAAGGGAAGTGCCCAGCAGGGGACCTGGACGGCCAGGGTTGTGCTCTCTTTCCCACCCTGGGGAGGAATATTTATAGATTAAAACATGGATGTGTTTTAGACAATCCTGGTCAAAAGAGATTACATAATCCTGGAGCTGCTTTTGGGTTTACAGTGCTAATTAGGCAAAGAGAGCCTATAATGGTACAAAGGATTGTCATACCTACGGCCCCCTGTGTGTCAGGCTTTAAGCAGACATTTAGCCTCTGTCTGGACCCAAGTTCTCTTGTGTGAGACCCAGGCGGTCATCTGTGTTCTGAGGGGTTGTGCTGGAATAAAGAAGACAGGAATGTACAGCACCATGTTCACAAAAAGTCTGGGAGATTTGAAGTGCCTCTCCTCTGTGGAGAGTCAGGAGAGAAGGCGGAGAGCAGCATCCTGTCCCCATGAGCATCAATGTCCTTGCAACCAGCTAGTGTGTAGTTGTTTATGTGTTTGTTCATCCATCTGTGCATTGTGTATGTGCATTGTGTATATGCCTGTCAGTGTGGATGGTGTCTCTACAGTGTGGACAGTGTCTCTGCAGTGTGGACAGTGTGTCTCTGCAGTGTGGTCAGTGTGTCTCTACAATATGGACAGTGTGTCTCTACAGTGTGAACAGTGTGTCTCTACAGTGTGGACAGTGTCTCTACAGTGTAGATGGTGTCTCTACAGTGTGGACTGTCTCTCACACTACCCAGCTCTCCACTGTGAACAGTGTATTACACTACTTGGCTCTGTACAGTGTGGACGGTGTCTCTACAGCATGGACAGTGACTCTACAGTGTGGACAGTGTGTCTCTACAGTGTGGACAGTGTGTCTCTACAGTGTGGACGGTGTCTCTGCAGTGTGGACAGTGTGTCTCTACAGCGTGGACAGTGACTCACACTGAATTTGCACTCACCAGAGACTAGGTTGCTGACTGGATAGGAACTATGGCTGCTGCAAATACAGTGGTTTCCTTTCATAGAGAAGGTTATATAGAACCTTTCTCTGAGAGGTTATATAAACAAGAAACCTTAAACAGATAAAAAAATAATGTAACAACTGTGTTCAGGCTGGATGCTGCTTTTGGACTACTGCACTGTGTAATTTGTCAGTGGTTTGGACAATATCTGGAGATGGTTGGCTGACATACTTGGGAAGGGGGCTGGGATCTGCCGCTAGACCTCATGGATGGCTAAGGCAGAGGGCCATTTTCTCCTCTGCTGACAGAATTATCTGGTCCCAAACACAAAGCATCCAGAGGCCAAGAAACCTTGCTCTACCTCAGTCTGACATGAAACAGTCACTTACTGAATGCCTCCATGTGGAAGAGCTCTAGAGAGGCACAGATGTTAACTGTGGTTGCTGTCTGCTAAGTGCCTGCCGTCTGTGGGGGACTGTACAGCGCACCACCGAGCCATATATCGGCTCTTACTGTGTTGATTGCTCCCATCAGATACATCTGAGACCTCTGGCTTTAGTAAATGTTTAAATTACCAACATCTAGGTGTGCACACTAAAATCAGCAAGTTTAAAGATGGCAACTTTAAGAGCAGAAAAGAGAAAGAAACTCTGCAGCATTATTTGTGAACATAGTGCTCAGTGCAACTCTTTTAACCAGCATTTCACAAGGAAATGAAGTTATCCAGATAATCGTGGTGAGCATAAGATTCGTGCGGAACAGCAGAGGCCACAAGTCAAGGGAAGCCGGGTGTTCCGTAGGCTGAGACTCTATAGTGAATTATGCAGCCAGCATGCACAGTTGTAAACCGCTGACGAATAGGATCTCTGTAAAAGATTGGCTGAATGTAGAAAACATAACGACTTAGGGCAGCACTGAAGGATGTAATTGGGTTTTACTCTGCAAGACCACAGAGTAAGCCAAGGTTTAGAAGACCCCCCACTCACCCACCACCCCACCCCCGGCCATGCAGTTTTACATAGTGTGGATTAATTTTCAGGAAATACGCAGGGCCATAAAACTGTGGTTGAAATCTATATCTATGTATTTAATTACAGATCAGATAATAAAGACACGTGGACTTCATGTGGTTACACAGGCATGTCACTGGGCTCTCAGTAAGTCCCTTCCACGGGGCATACATGAGTTAGGTGGCCAGTGTGGGGATAGATTTCGGGCAGCACAGCTGTGGGCTCACTGATGTTGTGACTTAGATCTTTTATGCCCTTGTGACAGGGGTCATCTTAGAAACAGGCTAGCATGGGCCTTAGAATCATCTCCCATCATGTGGGAAGGGCCACTCCATCACAGCTTCCAGCCTGCTGCTTCCTACATTTTCTCACCGTGGAGATTAACCACTAAAGCAAATGACGTGATAATTCTTTCCCAAACAAGACAAATCAGAGAATGTAAGATAATTTTATTTGTTAAAGATTCCATATTACCAAGCCAGGCGGTGATGGCGCACACCTTTAATCCCAGCACTCGGAAGGCAGAGGCAGGCAGATCTCTGTGAGTTCGAGACCAGCCTGGTCTACAAGAGCTAGTTCCAGGACAGCCTCCAAAGCCATAGAGAAACCCTGTCTCGAAAAACAAAACAAAACAAAACAAAACAAAATTCCATAATACCTTTGGTTTTGCAAGACAGGGTCTCATTCTGTCTGGGCTGGAACTCACTGTGTTTCAGAGGCTGGCTTCGAGTTCCTCATATCCTGTCTCCCCCTCCCAAGTGCACTCTGCCATGCCTGGCTTTGGTAGCATCTTTAGAGAGTGGCTCACCCAGGGCTTGGCGGTGTGGGTGGGGGGGGGGGGGGTTCCCTGGGTAAGCTGCTTGTCGGGAAAGCAAGAGGCCCTGAGTTTGTCCTCGGGTACATGCCTAAAAAGAGCCAGGCATGGTGGCTTGTGCTTGTAATCCCAGCAGACAACTAGGAGGGTTCTAAGCCAGTGACACTGTGTCAACAACAACAAAAGGTGACTGGTGCCTGAAAAACCGTGCATGTGCGCACACACACACACACACACACACACACACACACACACACACACACACACACACACACACACGCTGAAGAAAATGAACTAGCATATTTGTTTGTAGATAGGACAAGCTTCCACCAGATGGCACTAAGCACTTCCTAACTTCGCAGTTAGGTGCAGTTAATTAAAAACTTAATACTAGCAAAGAGGTCAGGCTTGGCATCTCACAGTTGTGTCCCAGCACTCCCAGAGGGGGACGCAGGAGGTTCAGAAGCTCACCCCGCCCCCCAGCGACTGTATAGTGAGTCTGAGGCCAGCCTAAACTTCAGGAGACATTTTCTCAAACAAAGAAACACCAACCAAAACAAACAAACAAACAAACAAACAAACAACTCAAACCAAAACAACCAGGGAAATTTGGGGGGGGGGGATGGTTCAGCCCATTAAGGTGCTTGCTTCCAAACTGTGGACCTATTGCTCTGCAGTTCTGTTGGGTCTCAGCGCCCATGTCTCCAGAGGATCTGGTGCCCTCTTCTGGTCTCAATGAGAATTGCACTTATGTGCACAAACTCATGAGTGTGTTCCCCACTGCGCCCCCAACCAAAAAAAAAAAAAAAAAAAAAGCAAGAATATGAGCACGTGTTCTGGGCTTCTGTGATTTCAGTCTGTTTCTTACTGTTGTGTGGATGAAACACTGAGGGCATTTTGCAGCTGGCATTGGGACTGTTGACTCTTTGCAATGATCTGACTCCTCTCCTCCACGTTGCGGTCGTGTTTAACTGTCTTCAACAGTTGACGAAGACGGGTGTTTTTTGATATTGCCAGTAATCTATGTTCTTCTCCTTTTGAGGTTCCCATGGCTCTGTGGACCATGGGTGTGATCTTGCCCATCTCACTGCCTTAAAAGTGTAGCAAATATTATTAAAGCTTGGGTTATTTTGCCATAACGCAGTGATTTCTCTCCTAGTTCAGGGTTAGCATTTGAGAATCAAGCATATCTTTCTGTCGCAGTTTCTATACTTAGATGCTGCTGAATGCAAGCCTATAAGATTGACTTTATAGCATTCATTTAAAAGCCTTGTTTGTCTTGAGTGATCTTCCTTTTAGCTTAAAATCCTCGTGGTCTAGGCCCTAGACCTAGGGTGATCTTCCTTCCAACATAAGGGCCTATCCAGTGTGGAACCCTTCTGTTTTGTTTCACACACTCTGCTTCCTGGAGGCAGGAGAGCCAGATGCAGCAGTTACTCAGGGTGTGGATTCCATCCCTCAGACATGTGCCCTCACCCTGACACGGCGTGGGTGTGACCGCGTGAAGTCCCTCATGCAGTGCGCCCAGTGAAGTAGAATCGAGAGTATTCCTGAGAAGCAGAATTGTGAGGCTAAGTGGATAAACTCTCCAAACATATCTTAAAAGTATCACAGAGAGACTCTGCAAATAAGTCCCGAGGGTGCGGGTGTTCCTTCTCCTTTACCTGCCACTTAAAATTCAGTCCCGAGTTCAAGGATTGCTCAGACCCTTGAACAATTCTTGAATAAGCTAGCGCATCACAGACTCCTCCCTCCCTCTCTCCTCTGACCCGTGTTATTTACAAGTCATTCATTTCTGCCTCCTAGCTCCCATCACATCTGCATCATGGTATAGCTGACCACATTTATGTCTTATTTTCCTTCCTAGGCCACAGGGTCAGTGGCCAGGGACGGGACTCTTGGCTAAAATACCACTCGACACAAGTTTGCCCCTTAGAGATGCTCTATCAATTACAAGAGTTCTCTCTCTCCCTTGTGCCAGATTTATAATTCAGTTTTTAACATAATGCTGTATTTTCCTTCAAAGTATTAAAATATCCAGGGACTTCCCTAGCCATCATTTTCTTCCTTCTTTAGCAATATCTTTTTCTGTAATCCTTTGCCGATAACTTTGATAAATACGGCTGTTGCTCTATTTGGAGAAGGGACAAAGCGGTAGAATTTGAGGCTGTGAGTTTATTTGGGTGTTTTCCCTTCTCTGTAGTGACAAAACAACTCGAGAGAGGGAATATATATATATATATATATATATATATATATATATATATATAAACACAGATAATCATAAAGGGTTAATGACATTTCAGTGAAAATCAAACACAAGTACAAAACCAACATCCATGTCAGCGTCCACTAAAGCACAGCAGATGAAAACGCCTCCCTCGCCTGGTACTTAAGCATTTTCACCTGTGTGTGGGCATGTGTGTGTGTGTATGTGCACACATATGTGTGTGGGCATGTGTGTGTGTGTATGGGCATGCATGTGTATATATGCGTGTAAATGTGTGTGTGTATGGGCATGTATGTGTGGGGGCATGTGTGTGTGTGGGCGTGTGTGTGTGTGTGTGTGTGTTTACATTCGTGTATATGTGTGTGTGAGCATGTGTGTATGCGCATGTGTGTGTGGGCGTATGTGGGGGCATGTGTGTGTATACATGTGTGTTTATGTGTGTGTGTGGGCATGTGTATGTATACATGTGTGTATGTGTGTGTGTGGGCATGCGTGTGTACACATGTGTGTATATGTGGGGGGGCATGTGTGTGTACACATGCGTGTATATGTGTGTGTGGGGGGCATGTGTGTGTGGGCATGTGTGTATGTGTGTGTGCGTACATGTGTGTGCATGAGCATGCAGGTGAATGCAGGGATTGAACTCAAGCCATCGTCACTGTAACTTTTTACTTAACACTAGTTTTGCTTTGTCTTTCAGCTTAACCCTGACTATCGAGATGCTCAAAACGAGGGAAAGACTGTGGTGAGTAGAAGTCCCCGCAGACTGTCCCAAGCGTTTCACACCCTGGTTTACATAAATAAGTCAGAGCCTTAGTAACCAGCTTGAGTGCTGTGGCCCCCAGGACAGAGCCTCTCAACTGAAGGGATGGTGTGAGAAAGAGGGGCGCCCAGGGGATCTCTGTCCAGCAGGGGGCGCTAAGGGACCTCTTGAAGACTGGTTATTGAAAGGCATTGAGGCTTCTGTAGTAGGTCTAGGTCCAGTTTCCAGAAGTACATAAGATGTTAAGATAGGACAGGAAGACTCTCCTTCTTGGATTTAAGATGATTTGGGATCTGCTTGAGGGGAGAAATTAAAACTGCAATCCATGTGTCATGGGTGGTGTCTTGATATTTTTAAGTGTCCTTCAGGAATGACTGTCTCTCTGTCTCTCCGTCTCTCCCGCCTCCAATCTGAGATTAAAGGTGTGCTCCACCACTGCCTGGCGAGTGCCACACTCTTAACACCAGTTTTCACAAGCGTTTTTCATGTTACACACTCTGCTCATCCCCTCTCTGTAGCAGGGGTGTGGGGGACAGTAGGGTTAGCTTTATTTAACCAAAGTTCGGAAACTCGGGGGAAGTAGATGTAGACAAACCTCTGGGTTAGACACACTTTGAGTGTGTGTACAAGGTGGCAGATGTTACTTCATCATTTAAAACTCTGTCCTTAGGTGGGCAGTGGTGGCACACGCCTTTATTCCCGTCACTTGGGATGCAGAGGCAGATGGTCTACAAGAGCTAGTTCCCGGATAGGCGCCAAAGCCACAGGGAAGCCCTGTCTCAAGAAAACAAAAAACAAAAAACAAAAAACAAAACAAAACAAAAAACCCCCTCTGTCCTTGTGTTACACAGTGTTGGTCAGGCAGGAGGAGGACATGTTGACACTGTCACCAGGGATCTGTTAATAGGTCTGATTTGGTTGTCAGTGAAGACCACTTTGCACCTGCCATTATGTACAGTCATAACTGTAATTAGTCAAATAAACAAAAACAGACCCAAAAGCAAAAGTTAAAATAACAAACAAGTCAGTATCACCCCCCTCCCACGGCCAGCCGTCTGCCGGTCTGTCCATCTATCTGTCTTCTTGGAGAAGTGTCTCTTTAGAATGTTTTTTGGGTTGTTTATTCTTTTGCTGTTGCTTTGAGCTAAAAAGAGTCACTTCTGGGCGTTCACTCCTCGTGAGGTGTACACATTCCTCCCCTTTTCCGAGGCGTCTCTGCCTCTGTCCCTCATCCCTCTGTTTTATGGCTTGGTGTAATCCCATGCATCTGTGCTTTTTGTCCCCTGCACTGTCTAAAACATCCTCACACAGACAGTATCATGTTGCGTTTCTTTCTTTCTTCTTCTTTTTTTTTTTCTTGTCAGGAAAATGAAAATCAAAACCACATTGTAACATCTTCTCACCCCAGCTAGAATGACCATTGTCAAAAAGACAACACAACAGATTCTGGCAAGGCCATGGAGAAAGAGGCCTCCTACAAAGCTGGTGGGGTGGATAGTCGGTGTGAATACAGTGTGGTAATTCCTCAGAACTTAAGTGCGGAATTGCAGTCCAACCCAGCAGACCCACTATTGAGTAACAACCCTCCGCAGATAAAAGCTAGTATCGACCCTCAGCTTTCATGCCTGATTCCCTAAAGCATTTTTCACACCAGCTGAGACGTGGAACTAGCCTGTGTCCACCCACAGCTAAGTGGGTTACAAGTGTGCACCAGTGCATCTGTTTTATGTGGCATGGGGCATGGAACCCAGGGCCTTGTACATGATAGGCAAGTGTCCTACCGTCCCAGCCTCAGCCCCAGCCCCAAGTGCCTGATTTAAATGGTGGCAGTGTTTGCCTGACTCCCCAGGTTCGTAGTCTATTTTTGTATGGCTTAGTAGGTCCAGCAAGAACTTCTGGACTTGGGGGGCTGGAGAGGTGGCAATGCTCTTCCAAAGGTCCTGAGTTCAATTCCCAGCAAGAACACTGTATATATACATAATCAATAAATAAATCTTAAAAAAAAAGAGCTTCTGGGCTTGACTCAATCCCGTTGGACCCCTCTTTCTATTTTATTGTCAGGGTTTAAGTAGGAGTGGAGCCGGGGGGGGGGGGCGGGTCAGGCTGCTGGCCCAGTGGAAGTTCACTCTGTGTTCAAACATCTCTAGATACAGGTGGGCTTACTTGATTGGTTAGGCCTGTTTATATTTATACTTGTTTTGAGTGAGGCTGAAGTTTTGGTTCTGGCCAGAGGAGGAGTTCACATGCTACTTTTTGTGTCTAGAGTGTATTACTATCATGTCTGGGCCGCTTCTTCAGCAGGCCCACTTGTGGACATTCTGGAGAGACCTGCTTTCCTTGCTGTCTAGTGGGCTGGTGTCTGCCTGCCCACCTCACCTTGTACTCCAAGAACCAAGACAGGTCAAAAAAGGTGTTAGTAGGTTTAAAAAAAAATACAAGTAGCTGGACCTGTGGTGCAGACCTGTCTTCCAAGTTACTCAGTGGCTGAGGCAGGAGGAAGGGAGAGGGGCTGAGAGAGCCGATCTGCGACCATGCTGATTATTTTCCTTAATTTTCCCTGTGTGTTGGCGACTTAATGACCTGCTAATTTTTTTCCCTGTAATTCAGAAATCTTTATCAAACACCGCCTTCTATATTTGAACTTTCAGAGGTTAATGCATGGTGTCGCTGAGATGAGATGGTGTGTGTGTCAGGGCTCCCATTAAGACCAAATTGCCGTGTTCATTTTGCAAAGGGGCCTGTTATTTCCAGTCTTACAAATGCACAGCTTCTCTGGGTACCCGGCAAACATTGGTACCTTGTCAAGCCCAGCCGGGTACCTCACGGTCATTATTTCTTCTTGAAAGCCCACATCTTTTCAGACAGCTCTGCAGAGGGGATTTTTTTTTTTTCTGCAATGTCATTCATGTTAGGGGGACATTGCCGTGTATATGTGGCATGGGACCTGATCCTTTTGAAGGAGCGTCTGTCATGGAGGCTTGAGGGGGACGTTTCATGGTGTCTGCAATGCTGACACACAGCACTAGATAATTCTTGGTGGTGGTAGTGGGGGATCTTCGGTGTGAGTGGTGGGCTGTCACCTGCATGGGTTGTAGTGGGTGCTCCCTGCATGGTAGTGGGGTACCCTCTGGATGGTAGGGTGATGGGCAGCATCATTGATCTCATCTTATTGGGGTGCTAGCAGCAACCACACCCCTGCCCCAGCTCTCAGTTGTGACAACCAAAAAAAAAAAAAATGTGTTCAGAAATTGCTAGATGTCCTCTGATTGTCAAAACCCTCCTGTGTGGCAAACCACAGACCCGAGTGCATTTATATCCTTGGGGATGTTCTAGAGCTGGAGTCTGTTGACACAGTACTTTCAAATTCTGTTCTGTAGAGTTTGGAGATGGGGAGTCAGGTGCCAGCAGACCTCCACACTGCTTTGGGTTTTATTCCAGGCTCACTGGCAGTAAGGGGTGCAGGCTGGGCAAGCAGAAGGGGTCCCGCTCTGGGGAGGAGGCTTACAGAGATAGCGTGCTTGCCACTTCCCTAGGCAGCCTGGAGTGTGTGGCTTCCCCAAGGCAGAACTGGGAGGGTGGGGATGGGGTGGGTGGGCAGGGATGCCAGTGACAGGCGACACAGCAACCTCCTGCAGCCTGAACCTCAGCTCCTCCCAGCATGTCTCAGGCTCCAACAGTACCGGCAATGTGAAGTTTGACCTAAAATTTGGTGACTCACTATGAGTCACCACAAAGGTATTCTGGGGTGTCCCGAAGTGCACCTCCCGGGAGGTGCCATTAGCTTCTTTGTAGCTTTGCATAAGGGCAGGTTTCTCCCTGTGTAGCCCTGGAAATCTGTGCCATCTGGGGCCGAGAAGACAGCTCAGTCGGTTGAGTGCTTGCTTTGTAAGCATGAAGTCCTAAGTTCAACCCCAGCACCCACTTACAGTAGCTGCCAGTGGCGGTGCCGTCCTGTAACCCCAGCACTGGGGAGGCAGAGGCTCAGGCAGGCTCCTGGTGGTTGCTGGGCAGTCTGCCTCCAAGTCCCGGTGAGACCTTGTCTCAAAAACTGAGGTCCAAGATTGATCTCTGATACACACACACACACACACACACACACACACACACACACACACACACAGACACCCCTCTGCACCCAGACATGAGGACATGCACAGCCACTCCCATGTGTACGCGCATGCCCACACATGTACAAACTTATCTGAAGCGTACCTGTCTGACAAGTACCCAGGGGACAGGAGGCCTGGGACCTGAGCTCCTAAGCTGGGCATTCGTCAGAGAGAGCTTGCTGGTGTTCCATTAGACACCTGTTTAAGCTCCATGACGAAAGGCAAACTATTGTGCTTCTGAAATCCCCTGCAGGGAGCTACAGTTGCTGTCTTTCTCTTCCCTTAGAAATAAGTGTGGGTTTATAAACAGAATCCACAAAGTCCGTGAGTTTGAACAGAGTTGTCATCATTTTGTTAAGATACAGGGTTTCCTTTCTTGTCTATTGAAGCTACGTCCACTATTATATATGTAACTAGAATTTTTGGGTGGCTCTGGCAGTCCTGACGGCCAGGCTTGACGTCCTGATGTACCAGTTAGAGAGAGAATTGATTGTGAGGAGCAGAGAGGGGAAACGGTTTTAGGGTGGCCACAGAGGAAGAGGAGCAGATGAGGGGCCAGTGAGCTCGTCTGTCTTCAGGGTCCTGGCTCGAGCTCTCGGTTTAACCAGAGTAAGCCTGGGCCCCGACTATGAGCCCTGGTCAAGGCTCCATCTGGTTACAGCTCTCTCACACCAGGCTGCACAGGCCGTGTGAAGTTACCGCTGCCACCTTCACTTGACTGGATCAATGGGTTCCCCCAGAGTGATCACTTCTGCTCAGGGTACAGCCTCTACCCATTGAGGATTTCTCTTCTTGGATTCAAGGTGACTGCAGGCTGAGGACAATGACTTCTCCAAGGGCATTGAGATGGGGGAGGAAGACAGACACTTGTCAGATCCCCTTCCTACACTCAGGGTCAGTCTGGCTTCTGAGACAAAGTGAAGGAGGGCAGAGAAGCCAGGCTTCCACCCTGCCTCTCGCCAGCCTGTGTGGCGTCTGCATAGAAGAACGTTTTCCAGGTGTCTTGTATGTTCATAACTCATTATTCATATTTAATTACTTAAAAATGCCAAGGGGCAGGCTTAATGTTTACTTCCAAACTGTTTATGAAGCAGAGTCTGTTAAATAAATTAGAGTGTGGGAAGCCAAAGCAGGAAGCTTCAGACAGCAGGGCCCTCGTAAAAGATATGTAGGCACATCGGAAGTCTTCCACACACAGTTGTGAAATGATTTATGTGCAGGAATTTTCTTCATATTAAAACTATTTTCCAAAGACCAGTGGGAAGGATGGGGAAATACAATAGCACATTCCATGTGTTCTGTCTGTGTAGTTACAAATCTTGAATTCTGTGGATAATTAGCAGTGGCTTGTTTTAATTAAGCCTAATCAGTGAGTTTTTAAAAATAGGTGTGTTGGAAAGAGTCATTGCAGTGCAATCGTCACAGTGCAGGGAGACCCCTGACCACTCTGATTGGGCCCCTTAGGCAGACATTACCAAGGAGAACCATATAGGAGGCCATCTCTAGGAATCTAGATCTGAAATCTTCTTGTAAATTTACCAAAGTCATCTCAAAGTTGGGGTGAACAGAGGGCTGAATCCCACTAAATGTACAGACCACACAAATGCTGTCAACTTTCAGATCCTAAATAGATCTAAATAGCTGTATCAGTTAGCACATTTTCCCCCTGGAGTGGTGTGTATCAAAAGATAAATTATAAGGTAAGGGGCAGGAAGGCTGAGCTAGGAAATCAGATGGCATACTTCTTTTAGGGAGACAGTATTTTTCCAAGAATGCTGGCAACTTCTTTGGTCTTCTACCAGACACTGTTGGAACCCTGAACACTGGCCCTCCAATTGTTGAGGTTGTGAAACCCTCTTCTGCCAATAAAGCTTGTCTTCAAAACATGGTTCACTGCAACCAATAGGAACTTACTTCCCTGAGCTCAGTTGTGTTTCAATTATAACCTTCCCTATCTGCCCAAACCACTTAAGCCCTGCGGTAGTGCGAGCTGCCCATGTTCCATGTGTTGGAAACTTGATCCTCAGTGTTGCAGTGGGGTTGGGTTCCCTCGGAGGAAGTGGGCATGAGAGACCTCGCTCATGGATTCCTGGGCTGGTCTAGGGTTGGTGTGGCTTGTGGCAGAACCAAGCCTGCTGGGACTCAGTTGCTCTGGCTCATAGTGTGGTATTCTCCATGTCATGACGCAGCACCAGGGCCTTCAACAGCTGTCTGTCTGTCTGTCTTTGGCTGTTTACAAGGATAGCTTTTTGGTTTGTTCTGCAGCCAGCCTGGGGCACGGGTCTCTGTGAGGTAGGGACTGACTGTGGTTTTTGCTCAGGCCTCTCTGTGAGGTAGGGACTGTGGTTTTTTGCTCAGGCCTCTCTGTGAGGTAGGGATTGTGATTTTTGTATTTGAATGTGATCCTGCATGGTTCTCACATCCTCATGCCCACAGGGAGAGTCCCTGGGTCACATGTTTTCATAATGGCATACCATCCACAGGGTGGGTACAAGGGTTCCCTTTCTCTGCACCTTTGGCCGTTTATCACTGGACCTTGGTCATGCTGTCCTTAGAAGTGTGCTGCCTGCAGCAGTTTTGATTTACATTCCCCCTGTAACTAGTGGGACCTATATGCATCGGTCATTTGTGTGTCTTCTTGAGTCCATGGAATTTAGAGGATTTGGGACGCTGCTTCTTCTCTATGTTTGATATAAATGCAGAGGGTACGAAACCACTAGAGAAGGGGCCATAACGATTGTGATTTAAGGACATGCTCAGATTAGAAGACCCCTCTGGGGAGCATGGACCGTATGACTGCCCATAATCGTTACAAAGGCTATGTGCCTGATCTTCTGGGGGATTCAGAGTAGACACTCCTATAACCCAATGGAAGAACGCAAACTCACACCTTATCTCCGGATTGACTGGAGCAGCTAACACTAAATCTGAAGACACCGAATAACCTTGAGCCTCTTCAACAGAGAGATGGAGAGCTTCCAACCTCAAAGAAGAAACGCCAGACTGGGGAGAAGATTATGTACACGCTAGTCTCAGTACCACACGGAAATGACATCGCATCCCTTTTCGAACTTGATGCCACAACTCTTCAGAGAGCTGACTGCCTGGTTCCAAGGTAAAAAGAAATAGAAAATAAAAGGAAATAAGTAAGTAAAAGGAATTGGGGTGAACAGATGCTTCTTTGAATAGTCCTCCCAACAGGAAGAAATAAAAAAGTATAATTACAATTTTACAACAGAAGGGAGCATGAGTGGAGAAAATGCATGCAAAGCTCTGTGCCTCTGTCAGGTGAGCTCATCAACACAACTTATTTTATTTGTATAGATAACTAAAATGTGCAGTACCAAAGACATCCTGAAAAAAGTATTAGAGTCATTTATTCTTATTAATTGTGTGGCCTTTGGTCACGACAACGAAAAAAAATAATCTAATAGCATTTTTAGTCTAAATTTTATCATTTACCTGTCAGATTTCCTGCCTAGCTCATTTATATGCTCATTCTTTTAGTGGTTCAGCTAAGAAGTATTTGTTGATTGTCAATTACCAGGCAGACCACGCCCCTGGCATCAAAATGAGACATGGGTCATCAATCAGAGCAATAAACACATTAGCTCAGGTGACTCTTGAACTTGTGGTTCACAGCCAGTGCCCCAAGTTGGGTCCAGCCACCTGTGCTCATTAAGCCAATTAAAAGACCCAAATTAAAAACAGAAAGCTGAAAAAGGAGATTTATTTGGTGTAGCCATACCAGAAAGGGATATGAAGAGACCTGAAAACCCCCTGTTGCGTGTCTGTCTCTCCCTCCTCCTTGCTCGATAATGTAGCCCCTGAAGACATACATTCTGCTGCTTTGGCCTGAGCCAAGTGTCTGTCCTTTTGTATGGTGTCTTAGTTGGGGTTTCTATCACTGTGAAGAGACACCATGACCACAGCAACTCTTATAAAGGAAAGCAACTCATTGGGCCTGGCTTACAATTTCAGAGGTTTAGCCTGTTATCATCATGACAGGTGGCTTGTAGGCAGGCATGTTGCTGAAGAAGGAGCTGAGAGGTCTACATCTTGATCTATAGGCAACAGGAAGTGAACCGAGTACCACACTGGGCACAGCTTGAGCATATAAGACATCAAAGCCCGCCTCCACATTGACACACTTCCTCCAACAAGGCCACACCCACTCCAAAAAGGCCACACCTACTCCAATAAGCCACACCTCCTAATAGTGCCACTCTGTGTGGGGGCCATTTTCTTTCTAACCACAACCTATGGGACCCTGATTATTACTCTGACTTAACTCATTTTAGGTCTAAGCAAAAATGGGTATCTTTCTTGAACTCAGTGTAGGAGAATTTGCCTGAGGAAGTAGTGAGAAGAACTCACCGTCAGGTGCATGCACCCACCACAAGGTTGCTATGTCTCACATTGCACAGGGGTGTTAGCTGCTGCTGTTCAGAAGGGCTGAGGTTCTTTGCCCCGTTGTGAAGGGTTTTGTGTTGAAGCATTCAGCTGCTGTTCACGGTTTATAGCTAACAATAAACCTTTAACGCTAGCCACTTTTACATCCTCATATAAAATCCTCCAGTGCTTTCTATGTGCCAAGCCCCATGAGTTCTTCAAGGCCATTATCTGGGTTCACCCTGGGTAACTCTCATGGGTCAGAGGTCAGAGGTCAGAGGCTGAGTTAGAGCAAGTCTTCTCAGACTGGCTGAGAAAGATCTGAGCAATGGGTCCTGGCCCTTCTGAGAGTGAAGAAGTCAGTCTTTCAGTGAGATATGGACACCCCATCTTTTAAAAGCATTATCCAGGGGGCTCCAATATGAAATGCAGCATTTCCCCAAACTTTAAATTCTTACCGTGTGATCTTTTCCTGGAGGGATGTGTACAAATGTTTCCAAACACAGGGCACCACAATAGATCAAAGGAAAGATTCCATTCAAGTCCAGTGAGTGAACCAGTGAGTCTGTTGGGTTTACTTACTGGAGCTTAGTGAGGGGTTCTTACGGGAATGTGGGTGATCCCAAACAGCTGTGTCACTGAAAGGCTTGACTCCAGCATGGATGACAATGTCCGGATGCCGGACAGATGGCACCCCCTCTTTAGCTGACGTTTCCCTGCCGTGCATTCTAGAACTTGATGAGACTATACATAGTTGGGAAACGCAGGAAGAAGTGTATTTACTACCCTTCTACCCTTCCTACCCTCCCCCACGAGGGAACATCAACAGGCCCAATCCTGGGGGACAGTCACACCTGTCCTGAGTAAGATGGCAATGGCCTTTATGCTCAGAGGTCAGAGTTCCACAGTGGTGCTTTAGCCTGGTGAGCCCCAAGTCAGCCTTGGGGATCTGATAGAGACACAGATGGTGAGTCCTTGGTCCATGGTGGGGCTGGGAGAGAGAGAGATTTTCCAGCAAGCCACGGACTGCACTGTTTGGATCAAGGGCCTTGAGCAGGGCTCCCAATCTTTCCCGCCCAATGGACACTTAGCAATCTGTGACCAGTCCTGATGCCTACCTCTCACTCTAGGCACTGATTTAACTGATGTGTGTTATAACCTAGGCTTTGGGTTTGTTAGAACTTCCCAGGTGACAGACAGCAGAGTTTGGGACAAGCTAACTGACCTAACTGTCTGTGCTCATGAAGTGCAGTTTGACCCTGGAGTATGGTTTGTAAAGTCTGCCCTGAACTACCATTCCTCAGCAGCAGCCTTGCACTGTAGACAACCAGACCATGTCACACCTGACTGCCAGCACACATCTGTGACATGGTCCCAGGGTTATTTAGTTCCTAAATCCTTGCAGATCATGTTATTATTCTGGGTCTTCTTCTCAGTTTGCAGCCCAGTAGTGTTGATGGTTGACTCAAGGGGTTCATCCATGCTGAAAGCATCCCTGATCTGAAAATCTAATCTGAAATGACCCAAGAAGTGACAGCTTTTGAGAAGTGATATGACGGCACAAGTGGAAAATCCTGCACCTGACTTTGTGTGATGGGTTGTAGCTAAAATGCAGGTGTACTTAAAATATTGTATAAAATTACGTTTGGCCTCAATGGCTAAGGCACATATGGAATATAAATGAATGTCATGTCTAGACTTGGGTCTCATTCTAAAAGAGCTCATTAAACGCCTACACTGAAATGCTTAAAAAATAAAATAGTTGCTTTTCTATTGCTGTGAAGGGACACCGAGACCAAGGCAACCTGTAGAAGAAAGCATTTAACTTGGAGATTCATGGTTCCAGAGCATTAGAGTTCATGACCAGGAGGTGGGGAACATGGCCACAGGCAGGCGTGTGCATAGCAATAGCCGAGAGCTTACATGTTGAGCAATAACTACTAGGCAGAGAGATGGGAAGGAGAGAGACCCAACTATAATGGGGCAAGACTTTTGGAACCTCAAGCTGACCCCTGTGACACACCTCCTCTAACAAGGCCACCAGCTAGGAACCAAGCATTCAAACATATGAGCCCATGGAAGCCATGCAATGTTTAAACCGCCACACCAGCATTTTGAAGAAGGGAAACTCACCTGTGTTGAAACATGTAAGGATTGAATGGAGGAGCTGGCCACCACATAGTGTGCTGTGGCCCCATTTTTCCAGAGTGTAGGACAGCAGGGGAGACAGCAGCTGTAGATGTCTCCTGCTTAGGTCAGTGCAGAGGATGCTGGGTGCTAAAGTAGAGGCTTTTCTGGTTATTTGGACAAGGGTTAGGTGCTGGCCATTCTAGATATTGAAACTCAGTGTGTATTTTATCTACCTTTATGAATGAGCAATGTTGTTGGTCTTTTACTCTTTGCTTTTTGGGCTCTTGGGGAGGGGCTTGCTACCCAGCTCCCCCAGAAAATCACACAGAGATATTTTTCTTATAACTGCCCAGCCTTACTTTGGCTTGTTTCTTGCCAGCTTTTCTTAAATAATCCCACCTACCGTTTTCCCTCTGGGCTTTTATCTTCCCTTCTTCCGTATATCTTACCGTCTTACTCCTTGGCTGACCGTGTGGCTGAGTGGCTGTCCCCTGACGTCCTTCTCTCCTTCTAGTTTGCTTCTTCTTTTTGTATGCTCTTCCTGAAAGCCACTCCTGTCTTTCTACTGCCTCACTGTTCAGCTCTTTATTAGACCATCAGGCGTTTTAGACAGGCAAAAAATCATGGCTTCCGACTTAAACAAATGCAGAATAAACAGAAGCCACACGCCTTTACACCATTAAACAAATGCTCTACAGCATAAACAAAAGCAACACGGCTTAAGATAATATTCCACAGCAGAGCAAGAACCTTGACGATGAGTTTCCCTGAGGCGTTTAGCGTCTTGTGTTCTCTTTGACTCTAAAATGTTTACTTTGGGTTGTATGACATATTTATGTCTTAGCTTTAGGCTGAATACTAAGTGAAAAGCCTTTTTATTTTAATGGCACCATGCACTCTTGTTGAAGAAATAATTGGATTAAGAGATGAGGTGTGGAGAAGGGGCCGTCTGAGTGGAACCGAGCTCTAGGCGCCCTCTCCAGCATCTGCCATGGCGTCTACACAGATAATTTTTGTTACTCGTGACTCAAAACATGGTCAAATGTGTGACTGTTGCTCTTGGAGGACACAGGGTGTGAGTCCTGTGAACTCCTGGTTGAAATCACCTGCCAACCTTCCAGTCAGCACACAAGCTTGTGTGTGTGTTTGGTAGACACCTTGATTCTTCACACAACAAATAGTTTCTTTCTTTCCTTTTTATTTTATTTTGTTTTTAGGCTGGAGAGATGGTTCAGCGGTTAAGAGTTCATACTGCTCTTTTAGAGGCCCTGAGTTCACTTCCCAGTACCCACATAGGGTGGCTCACAACCTCCTGTAACTCCAGCTCCAGGGGATCCGATGCCCCCTTCTGGCCTCTATGGACACTGCATTTAACTATGTACACAGAATTTAAAGTTTTGAAATTTAAGTTAGCATACACAGTGATGGCTTCATGATGGCGTCTTCCTGTACATGTCACCAGACTTTGTTTGTATTCGCCTCCCCAACTCCACTCCTTTCCCTGTCACCCTGGCAATTGTTTTAATCTTCTTACTTAGAGCCCAGAGTCGGTGCTTCCGAATTAAATAGCAAGACCAGAACAAAACCCAGAAATCTGAGAAGTGTCACTAAGAGAACATGGTGTGAAGTCTGAGTTAGAACCTGAGCAGCTGCCTGCTCAGCCTCATATTGGGGATGTGCCTGTCGGGCTGCTCTGAACCACTTATCTATTTAACTGCTCTAGGTTTGCCCTCAATGGGTACAGCAGCCCCATGATTTAGGGGCTGTCAGTACATTTAGGTTGGTAGCTGTCTGGGGACAGAATAAACTAGTTACTGCTGACCGCACCCCCAGTGCACCAGTGAGGTCTTAGAATTTGCATTTTGACAAGGTTCCTGGTGACACTGATGGCCCAGGAAGTGATGGCCGTGGGCTCCAGAGAAGTCTGAATCTAAGAATTTTCATATTCCAGACAAGATCCTGAGACGGTTACTAGTCTATGACATTTACTGTTCACACCACACATGGATCTGCTGAATATGTCAATATGCAAAGGGTGCTAATTAAACATATTATTGTCTGTGTGTGTAGGTCAGAGGTCAGCTTTGTAGAGTGGGTTCTTGCCTTCCATCTTCAGTGGGTTCTGGGATTGAACTCATGTCCTCATAGTTGCGTAGCAAGCCCCTTTGGCCTCTGAGCCCTCTTGCCAGCCTGATGGGGGGAATGTCCTTCTGTATATATGTTTTTCTTACTGGTTGATGAATAAAACACTGATTGGTCAGGGAGGAAATATAAGCAGGGCTACCAGACAAGGAGAATTCTGGGGAAGAGGAAGGCAGAGAGGAGCCACCAGGGAGACACCACATCGTAGCCGCCAAAGGAGTAACAGGTCTGGGCCTTCTCTGGTAAGATAAGACCATATAGAAATGCATAGATTAATCGTTACAGGTTAGTAATTAAGAGAGAGCTAGCCAAATAAATGCACAAGCAATATATCACCACATAAGCCCTCCATGCCTTTTTATATCATTTGCTTTTAGGAACTCCTATGTGCGGCTAAGGCATTTGTGCACCAATACTTGGGTAACGAGCACCAGCATCCCCATCGACACGGAGGAAGAGAGGCCCGTCATGCTGAAAGTAAGTGTGCCCCGACTGGTTCACCTGCTGTGCACACGGGACTGAGAGTGACTGACAGTCCGTCTTGCAGGGTGCTAGAACTGGTTGCAGCTGATTTCGTGGGAGTGAACATCTGCCAGTTGGTTAGGTCTCTGACTTGGGTGGCTGCAGCAGGGCTGTTGGAGGAGGGTGGGTTTGCAGACATCAAAAAGGTGCAGGAGGATTCCAGGGGCACCTTCTCTGCTTGGAAGTATCTGGGACTGAGGGACATCGTGTGAAAGAAACCCTCTTTGGGGGCTCTTCAAGAACAGGGAAGGAAAGCCGGGCGGTGGTGGCGCACACCTTTAATCCCAGCACTCAGGAGGCAGAGGCAGGCGGATCTCTGTGAGTTTGAGACCAGCCTGGTCTACAAGATCTAGTTCCAGGTCAGCCTGCTGAAATTACATAGCCACAGAGAAACCCTGTCTTGAAAAAACCTTAAAAAAAAAGAGCAGGGCAGGAATTGGGCACGGAAAGCCATCGTGTCCCCGAAGCCCTTCATTGTGGATGGTGTTTTCTGGAGTTTCTCTGTCTTGTCCACACCCACCCCAGTGGATCTTACTCTGAGGACTACGGTCTCTAGAGACTGTTGCTGTTTAATGGAAACACATATTGCAGATTGGAACCTGCCAGACTAAGGAGGACAAAGAAGCCTTTGCCATTGTGTGCGTCCCACTGTCCGAGGTCCGAGACTTAGACTTCGCCAATGATGCCAACAAAGTGCTGGCAACCACGGTCAAAAAACTGGAGAATGGCAGCATCACTCAGAATGAGAGGAGGTGAGTGGAACCAAATGTGACGTTGAATCATTGAGAGTCAACCGTTGGCCTGGGTGTGGGGGTGCAGGCTCACAGGTTCTGTAACTGTAGGTTGAAGGGACATGGCGCCCTCCTCTGGCCTCCAGAGGCACTGCACACACATGCACACACACAGATACACACACCTAAATAAAAATAAAAAATAAAAATAAACTAAAAATGTCAGATGGAATACTTACTTTTCCCATTTTATCTTGGCTCAAAAATAGATGATTTTAGTTTCTCTCTGCTCTATTTTTGAAAGCTTTTTAAAGACTCACAGGACCATACTTGATTTGGTGTTTAGATGGAGAGTTTTATATTTCCTGGATTCATGACATATTTTGCATGTAATTACCATGTAATTTTTTTGAAAGTGTATTCTCTGCTTGTGTCACTCAGAGAAACTGGACCATCGATTGGTTATTCATTTATTTATAAATATGCGAGAAATGGCCATTTGTAATAGAGATCATTGTCTCCACCTCGTGCCCTAAGCCTTCACACAGCCCTTCAGTAGCTATTCCCATCCTGCCTAAAGCAATGGGGGTTAAACTCCACCTGGTAAAATTACATGAATCATAAGTGGGGGATCCAGTCATGTGATCGACAGTTGGGTGCTCCCAGGACCTCAGAGCAAAGACGTCTGCCCTCTTCCCTCTTCATGACCTGCTGCAGACTTTGATCAATAAGGAGCCATTTGCCACGTGCATTCCAGCTGTCACCTGCAGCCATCGAAATGGCAAGCCCCCCACCAAACGGCCCAGACAGAAATGCATGGCAAATGTAGTTGTTGTTTTGTTTCTAACTCTTAATTCTTTGCTCTTTTGGGGGGGCTGACACCCAGCTCCCAGATAAGCAGTACATGGCGTTTTATTCTTACTTATGAATGGCTGGCCTTGGCTTGGCTTTTTTCTAGCCAGTTTTTGTTAAACTACCTTAAATTAACCCATTCACCTTTTGCCTCTGGGCTTTGTCCTTTCCCCATTTTTGTGTATCTTCCTTTACTTCTTACTCCATGTGTGGCCGGCTCCTCAAGTTCTTCTCTCCTCCATTTCTTGTTTCTCAATCTGCCCTCCCAGATTTCTCCTCCTATTTATTCTCTCTGCCTGACAGCCCTGCCTATCCTTTCTCCTGCCTAGCTATTGGCCGTTCAGCTCTTTATTAGACCAATCAGATGTTTTAGACAGGCAAAGTAACACAGCTTCACAGAGTTAAACAAATGCAAAATAAAAGAATGCAGTCCATCTTTGTGTAATTGAACAAATGTCCCACAGCATAGACAAATGTAACACATCTTAAAATAATATTCCACAGCAGGCAAAGTCAGAGAAGGGAGCACTGTGGCTCACTGGTGTCCATTCCCCAGCTGGGCGTTCTGGAACATCTATCTGTTCAATAGAATCCCCAGAACAGAAGGGCAGAAATGTCCAGCCTTGTCTACGCACCCCCAACTGAAAGCCGTCATGTTTGCTGTAGTTGAAGGATGATATGATTGTTCTGTGCTCACACAATGGGATAGCACATAGCCAGGGTCAGGAATGAACTAGACCATGTGTGATGGTGTACATGACTCTGACAAGTTTTGGATTGAGTAAGAAGGAAACAGGATGGATAAACCCACCATTACACTCTGAGAGTGTTCTGTCACTAAATGTATACATTCTGGAGACCTTTACACACAGCCCATACAATAAAGTCAAACATTGTCAGTGTGCTGACAGTCAAACGGTTCTCAGCCTCCTCTCTGTCCTTACTACTGCTTTTCCTGTGGGGAGCCTGCATTTGACAACTGCCTTTAGACATCTGCCCTGTGGTGGCCAACAAACCAAGGCCAGAAGCAGAAACCGGCCACTCGTATGGCCTCATGTGATTAGAGACCAGGGCCAGCTCACAACAGAAATGTTCCAGTGTGCAGATGGGGTGTTTCCCTCTTTTGCCTCCTCTTGATGAATCCGTTTCTGTCTGTCTGTCTCCTGCATTCACAGAAAGTTACACACTTCTCTACGAGGTCTCCTTTGGTAAACTCCAAGTATCTATTGAGTGCTGGGCCTCTCTGGGTGCTTCTCTCTCCAGGGCCTTCTCCCCCAGTGCTTGTTGGGGGGGACTCAGCCCCTCTGGATATGTCTTAGGAGGACAGTGGATTAGGATGACCCTTGACCCTATTTTTATTTTTTATATCCCCTGCCTCTTTCTCTCTTCACTGCTTTAGTGGAGAATAACAGCAAGGAGACTATGCCTGAGAACTGGGAAGTTACATTTGCTGATCCACCCTTCATCCTGATGCAGTCCGTGCTGCAGAGTGGTGAAGGGGCTCTTAGTCTCTCAGCTTTAGAATTTAATAGAAAATTCTTTCTGAGAATGACTGGCAGCCTTGACACCCTTCCCTCTCCCCCATGGAGAGTGAAGTTATTATTAGCTATTCTTTTTATTCAAAACCAAGGTCAAAGGGAGGGTTTGAGAACATTGCAGACCTGCCTCTGAATGCCTGTGATGTTGGATTCCCCCCCCCCCACACACACACCGTGCTATCCTTTAGTTGACCCAGGAAGGGACTCTGGATGCAACTCCTGCCAGGCTCAGCATCCTCAGCTTTCGATGTTTTCATTTGAATTTTCTGTTTGTATTCTACATGACTGCACCAAGTAAGCAGAGCATTAGAAGTGTGTGCCCCACTCATGACGAGGGAGGGCCATGAGGTGTCAGCTGCTACCTGGAGCCTGGGAAGGCACTGAGTGCAAGTCTTACAGTCTCTGTACCACACAGGCTGCACTTCTGAAGGACCTGGTTTGTCCACAGAGGGTCCGTTGTCACAGCTGTACACACATGTAGCTAATTCCGTGAGACTGAGCTCTTGTTATGTGCCAGGTGCTGGCCACACAGACTGTGCTCCAAGTAGCTGCAAAAGCCAAGGTCATTGGGCTCTTGTCTAAATGCAGCTAGGGGCTGGGGACAAGGCTCAATGGCAGAGTGTTTATTCAGCCAGCCCCACGCCATGCGACACTTGCTGCCAAACCCAGCACCTTAAGAAGACCGCCATGCCTTCAGGCAACAAACAGAGCTCAAGGGCTCTTAAAACTCGTCATATGAATTATGGTGCCCCTCCCCCTTCCTGCCTTCTTTACCCCCTTCTTCTACCTCTCCTCCTCTCCCTCCTTGTCTTCCTCTTTTACTCCTTCCTTTCCTCTGCCCTTCTTCCTTCTCTCTCTCATCTCCTCTCCCCAGTCCTCCCTTCCTTTCTCTTTGGAGGCCAGGTCTCATATATAACCCAGCGTGTCCTTGAACTCTCTATGTAGCCAACAATGCCCTCGAACTCTTTAACTTCTCTTTTGTAATCTGCTTTTAAAAATCTCTGTACGCTATTGTCTGTATCCTTTGGATACTGTCTTATAATTGCTAATTTTCTTATAACCTGGACTTTTATTAGATGATTTTATATACACTTTTTAATGCTCAGATTTCTGCTGGTTCTTTGCCTACCCATTTAGTCTTCATTCATATCTACTATTTAAAATTATATATACGTATGTATATATACATATCCATATATATATAAGTGGTAAGATATATATATATATATATATATTTATATATATATAGTAGTAAGTTCTTTATCTGTTGAGGACTGACAACACACTCATTTAAATGTCATTTAGGAATGGCTTCATTGCTTGGATCTTATTGGCGATGAATATCAGCCTTCTGATTTTTAGCCCCGATGTTGGCTGTCTTTCCTAATATTGGTTTTCTGAGTGTTTTGGAATTTAATTACGCGGGCTTACCTCCGCTGGAACATTATGGCTTTTTCTCTCTGTGCTCATTCGTTTTCTGTCTGCTGGCGTGGCCTCCAGCTGCCTCCTCTCGGCCAGCCCGCAGCGAGGGGTCAGTGTGGAGGGTGCGTGAGTCGTGGTTATCGCAGCTGGGACAGCAGCTCCATCAGTGTCTCCTGTCCCTTGTGCACCGCCTGGCTGCAGCCCGTGCAGGGACGTTGGAGGCTTTCTGCAAGGGGGACCTTCTCCATCAGTGCCTTCTGCAACTGCAGCTGGGCCCATCCTTCCAGCAGGGCTGCATCATCCTTACGCTTGGCTGAGTTGGGCCGGCCTTTTATATTTCCCTTTAAATACGGAATGTATGTCTTACCTAACTTCGCTAAACCCGACAGGAAGTCTGTTGCCTGGCTTTTCTTAGGGGCGTGTGAGGAGATGCACCTCAGATAGGGAACCTATGTCAGACCAAAACGCGTCTCACCTGGAGCGCTAATAACAGGAACATGGGTGAGGGGTGACTTACAGGATCGCGGATGACTCAAGAGGCGGCTGCACCCCTGACAGCTGCCCCAGCAGGGACGGTGACGCCTGGCAGCCCATGGGCCCCAGAGCCTCTCTCCCCAGCCTCCCCCACGGTCTGTCCTAGAACCCGGGGCAGCAGTCTTAGCCCTGCAGGCCTCAGCCTCCCAGGTTTTGTTTTTCTTCCTCAGTCTCATGAGCCTCTCTCCTCCCTCCAGAGTAGCATGTTTGAATTTGGAGGAATTGCTTTAAAGTAAGTCACAGAGAAAATCAATTATTAGATAAAAGTTAGCAAGATGGCATGTGTTACAGGGTGATAACCATTAACAGAGAATTGAAGTTTGAGTTTAGCTGACAACAGCCAGCAGGTGATTTTATTGTTGTTTGCTTTTTTTTTTTTTCTTGGCACATGAGTAAACAAGTAAAGAGGAAGCTTGGTGTCTTGCTACCAACCTCATCATAACCAGAGGCACCTCTGTATGTAGACAGAAGTTTCCGTGCTGCCTGGTCCTGCAGCCAGCCGTTCTGTCCCAAATAAACACAAAGAGGCCAATATTAATTATAAACTGTTTGGCCTACTTCTCAGGCTTATTACCAGCTAGCTCTTTTGTCTTAAACTCACCCATAATTATTTTTTTTTAAAGATGACAAATTTCCAAGATGTCAGAATATTTTTTTTTTTTAGATTTTATTTATTTATTATGTATACAGTGCTCTGCCTACATTCACACCTGCAGGACAGAAGAGGGCACCAGATCTCATTATAGAGGGTCACGAGCTGTTACGATAAATCTTTCCACCAAAAGCCGCCTGAGCCCCACCGCCACTTGTGAGCTTTACGCCAGCCGCCTGCCCGAGTTAGTTCCAAATGAATACACAGAAACTTGTATTAGGTTCAAAGCTGCTTGGCCAATGACTAGGATTCTTCATCTGTTAGCTTAGTCTTAACTATCATAAACCTATATATTTTATAAGACTATCTTATCGGACGCCTTTTATAGGCGTCCCTCCTTGCCGGTGGATCACATCCTGCCACTGGAGCAGGAGCGGAGGGGAAAAGAGGGCTCTTCCTGTTTCTCCTTCTTTAAATATGAGTCTCCTTGCTATGTCACTTCCTGCCTGGATCACCACTTCTCTACTACATTTCCCAGAATCCTCTTTGACTCCTAGTTCCGTCTAACTTGCTGTCTCATTGGCCAAACAGTATTTTATTTAACAATCAATAAGATAAACATACACAGTAGTACATTCCCCATCAACGAGCCCACCATGTGGGTGCTGGGAATTGAACTCAGGACCTCTGGAAGAGCAGCCACTAGCTCTTAACCTCTGAGCCATCTCTCCAGCCCTCACCCATAATTCTTATCTATGTTTAGCCACATGGTGATTTGGTACCTTTTCTCAGTAAGGCATTCTCATCTTGTTTTCTCTGGGTCTGGCTGGTGACTGTGTCTCTGCTTTTCCTCTTCCCAGAATTCTCCTAGTCTGGTAGCCTCACCTATACTTCCTGCCTGGCTACTTGCCGATCAGTGTTTTATTAAATATGAGTGACAAATCTTTACTTTGTACAAGAGCATTGTCCCACATCATCTGTATATTAGGAATAATGCATAGTGACACTCCATCAAGACTTAATATTCTTGGGCTGGAGAGATGGTTCAGTGGTTAAAAGCATTTGCTGTTCTCCCAAAGGACAGAGGTTCAGTTCCCAGCACCCACATGGCATCTCATAACCATTTGTAACTCCAGCTCCAGGGAATGCTCCAGGGGATCTGATGCCCTCTTCTGGCCTCCTTGGGCTAAACACCCATTTTATATGTTTCATTTTATATGATAAAATGAAAAGTAAGAAAAATTAACATTCTACTCGCCCCATCAACAGTTACCATTTTAAAGAGTAATCCAGAGTCACGACACAACTGGACCTTTTGTTGTTTGTGTCTAAACACCTAATTCCAGTTGTGGAGTCAACAAGAGAAAATGTGTTGAAGCTAAATGTTCTCTGAGCAGCCATCAGTGAGATTCTGTCTCACTTTAGCCCGCTGACATTACCTGGCGTCAGAGGTTTGCTTTGACAATAATATTTGGGAGACATTAAATCACAGTTGTGCCGTCTTCCGTGCCCATTTGTTCTTGAGACTCATAGGATTTTTATTTAATAACCATTTGCAATATTTGATTAGAATTGGAATCAGAGTGGAGGGCAGGGGGAACTGGATAGGAAATGTCAAAATTAAGTAGCAATTACATTAGATATTACATTTTGTTGATTATGTTTTCTTAAAAGTAGTTTAACTTTCTTAGTGTTTCACTTCTCAGACTTAATTTCCGATAGTTCAGAACTGTCTCATCTTTTCTCTGTGATAGGTTTGTGACTAAGTTGTTGGAAGACCTCATCTTCTTTGTGGCTGACGTGACTAACAACGGACAGGATGTTCTGGATGTGGTCATCACCAAGCCAAACCGGGAACGGCAGAAACTAATGAGGGAACAAAACATCCTGGCACAGGTGAGTTGCTTTGAGAACCAAATTTGCCTATTTTTTTGTTTTGAGTTACAGTGTCAGTTATGCCTTGCTGCATAACAAATGACACCTAGACACTTATTTCAGTTTCTATGAGCTTTAAATGTAAGAGCAGTGTCTGAGGGGCATCCTCAGAGGGACTGTCAGTGTGTTATGTAGGGCTACCGTCCTCTCAAGACAGAATGAGAGGAGGTCCACTTCCTAGATGGCTTGTAGAGTTAGGTGCAAGTCTGCCTCAGGATACAGCATTTCCTCTGGTGATGGTTGTGTTAGCTTTCTGTGACAATGGTTGTGTTAGCTTCCTGTGATGATGGCTGTGTTAGCTTCCTGTGATGATGGTTGTGTTAGCTTCCAGTGATGGTTGTGTTAGCTGAAGTTTGATGGCTTGAGAATCACCGAGAGACGGGCTGCTGAGCCTATAAGGAATTACCCTGACTATGCTAGTTGACTCATTAGGAAGACTCATTAACTGTAGGCCAGCCCACCCTCTGGGTGGAGATCCCAGACAGCAGAGAATGGAGAAAGATCTGAGCATGCATTGGGTGCTCTCTGTGCTTGGCTGTGGACAGTGACAGCAGCTGCTGGGAGCTCCTGCTTTGCTTTCCTCTCTGTGATGAGCTTCAGCCTCACACCAAGACATTTCCCTTAAAAGCAACGGATTCCAGAGAAGAGAGAGGGCACCTAGACATAGCCATAGTGTAGGAAAAAAGGGCCAGCCAAAGACACACACTCTGAGCAGAGCCAAAGAAACACACTTTGGTCCTGCAACCAGAGCCAAAAAAAAAAAAAAAAAAAAAAAAAAAAAAAAAAAAAAAAATGACCCTGAAACCAGTGCCCAAGAAACACACTTTGTCCCTGGAATCAGAACCAGTGAAAGAAATACACCCTGGCCCTAAAATTAGAGCCAAAAGGCTAAAAGGACCAGTGAAAGAAATACACTTTGGCCCTGAAACCAGAGCCAAATATGACCCTGAACCCGAGCAGAAAACCAACCAATCCCTGAGCATGAGATCTAGGCAATTTGAGCTCAGGGACTGAAATCTGACCAATCCTCACCCTGAAAGTCTTCTTCCTGGAAAACTCCACCCCTAAGAAGCCCTGTATAAATCCTGTGCCTGTTCAGCATGTGGCTGTTTGGGCTGCCCGACTGTCCTCTTCCACTCTGACACAGGCGGCCACTCTCCTGGATTCTTCCCTCCCAATAAATCTCGTGAATGAGGTTTCGGTGAGACTGTAACACTCAGTTTTCCTTGGCTCCAGAGTGCCAGAATACCTTTCCATCAGAGCCGTAATGCTTATACATAGTCTTTAAAACATCACCATAGATCCCATATCCATCAGTTCTGTGTGACTGGTTAGAAGCAGAGAGAGAATCCCACAGGGACATGGTCGGCAGAAGTTAGGGACCATTTGAGGCTAGCTTAGAGGTACCCACCACACATCTCCAAAATACCGGTGTGGTCAGAGCATCTTAAGAAACAAATTCCCAGGTGACTTTGGAACTGTTCTACCTGCTTCCATCTGCTCTAGGAAGACAGCAGTCCAGTCCAGATCTCTGAAGTGCATGACACACTAGTAAATTAACCTGCTTTCCAGTGACCTGCATGGACATCCCTGTAGTCACATCTTTTTATTGTTTTATTTGCTACTTAAAACAATTAGCTTCTGTATCAACCACATATGGATAATTGAAAACACAAAAATGACATTAGTTTATAATTAACATTAACTGCTGGGTGATGGTGGCGCACGCCTTTAATCCCAGCACTTGGGAGGCAGAGTCAGGTGGATCTTTGTGAGTTGGAGGCCAGCCTGGTCTCCAGAGCGAGTGCCAGTACAGGCTCCAAAGCTACACAGAGAAACCCTGTCTCAAAAAACCAAAAAA